CTGTGTGTGTGTGTGTGTGTATGTGTGTATGTGTGTGTGTGTATGTATGTGTGTATGTGTGTGTGTGTATGTGTGTATGTGTGTATGTGTGTATGTGTGTGTGTGTGTGTCTCACCTTGACCACTTTCTTGATGCCGTTGATGGTGGAGGTGAGCAGAGACTTGACCTTGTCGTCGTCGTTCACGTAGTCCGTGTGTCGCACACACATAAACAGCACGTACGCCGGGAGGCCGGGGATCAAACCTGAGGCGGCTTTGGGCTTCAGGTCTGTGGACATACACACAAACATACACATAGATGTACAAACACACACACACACAAACATAGCTTTCTACGTTACAGACGCGCACATCAACATACAAACACACACAAATACACAAACAAATACACACACACATATCGTCGTTCGTGCCACAAGCAATCCACTTAAGTCTGTTTAGGTACTTTTTACCTCCCCCTCTCTCTCTCTCTCTCTCTCTCTGTGTCTCTCTCTCTCTCACACATACACAGACACACAGACACACAGACAGACAGACAGACAGACAGACGTACCCAGGATCAAGTTTTTCACCAGCGCGGCCTCATCCTCCTTCCTGTACTCCAACATGCCCATGTAGGCTCTCTCTCTCTCTCTCTCTCTCTCTCTCTCTCACACACACACACACACACACACACACACATACACACACACACACACAGACAGACAGACAGACAGACAGACGTACCCAGGATCAAGTTTTTCACCAGCGCGGCCTCATCCTCCTTCCTGTATTCCAACATGCCCATGTAGGCTCTCTCTCGGTGGATCACTGTGGCGATCGAGTCTCCCCCGCCGCCGCCCTCCTCACGCTCCAGTTCCGCCGCTATCTCGGCCGCTGGGGACACACACACAGATACACACTCATAGACACACACATGGCAGGATACAGACAGACGGACAGACAGACGGACAGACAGGAGTAAAGTCAGACATATACATACTCATAGACAAACACATGAGAAGATGCAGACAGGGATACATACTCATAGACACACACACATGTGACAGACAGACAGACAGACAGACAGACAGACAGACAGAGATATAAAGAGACACAGAGAGAGAGGGAGAGGGGGAGAGGGGGAGAGGGAGAAAGAGAGAGAGATAGAGTGAAAGGGAGAGAGAGAAGAGTTATAGAGAGACAGGAGAGACAGACAGACACACAAAAGGACAAAGAGGTTTTTATACGTATAGACAGAAGGACGGACTGACAAATGGACAGACAGACAGACAGACAGACAGACAGGCAGACGGACAGACAGACAGACAGACAGACAGACAGACAGACAAACAGACAGACTCACCCTCCCCGTCCTTGAGTTTCTTGGCGTAAACCTTCAACATCTTCTTCAGCTTACGGATCTGGTCGCTCTGTTTGTCGATGGACTCTCGCAGGTCCTGGGGACACACACAGTTTCTGGGTGTTTGGCACCGTTTTACGGCACTTGTGACACAAATAGCTCATGTACGTACTGGAGACCAGAGGTGTTAATGGAGAGTGACAGACACAGAAAGGAAGGAGGAGAGATAAGGACGATAAATGTCGGATAGGAAAGAGGGAGGAGAGATTTGTATAAAGACGATAGATGTTTGATAGGAAAGAAGGAGCAAACCACACCAGAGCACCTGCCAACCACCCACTGATGATAGACACAGACACAGCTACTTTCAGACAGACGGACAGACATGGTGATTGTTCAGAATTGTAGTTGTAGTACCCGTTTTACGGCTCTTGTAACACAGTAAGGTCATATGAGAGGCCAGAGATTAGAGGTGTTACAAGAGAGTAACAAACACAAAAAAGAAGGAGGAGAGATAAGGACGATAGATGTTTGATAGGAAAGAAGAAGCAAACCACACCAGAGCACCCGCCAACCACCTACAAGGAGGAAACAAGGGTCACAGAAGGGTCAGAGAAGGGTCAGAAAAGTCAGTGAGGTGACCGGGGGTCAGTCAGTGTGTACTCACCAGGTTCTCTGAGGTGAGTCGTGTGATCTCATGCTGCATGGTGGCCTCTATCTTGGCTTCTGGACCAAGGCTCAGG